TTTATCTAACAATGATTTTGTTTTAAATTGTGAACTTTCAACATCTTCAGGTTTTGATTTTAAAGGCATGCTGTCTTATAAATTTCAAGTTGCACTATACAAGCTAACAACATTTGGTGAACCTAAAATAGTGAACCCTAAATCAAGTCAAAATAAGACATGCCTGATGCTGTATAATATTTCTGGTTTACATCTGAAAAATCATTTTTATTCAAATAATGCAAATGCATATACTGAGTTTTCCAAGTAGGATCTATTAAAAGATTTTGATCAGTTCATTTTTAGGTTAAAATTTCCCTGTAGCACATTACCATTCCTATTTTTCATAGTGGTTCATTTTAGTTTCTCATCTGACTGAAATAAGTAAACTCCATACTCCAAACCTCACTGAAGTAAGTATACTCCAAACAAGAACCCATAAATATATATATTGAATAGATGAGATTTATTAACTATAACTTACCTAAAAAAAGAAAGCTAACTCCAATCCTGTGCAAAAATGATTTATCAAAAATAAAATTCTCATAAAATCTGTAATCTTGCAGTGGTATGAATGTCACTATTGTTAAAATGAGTTGGATATCCATTTAAGGATATATAATAATTTTGATGAAGTCTTTCATGTTTTTGAATTTAAATTTAATTACAAAATTTAATTTTACTATTACATGTATTCCTTGCTGCAACCATGCACTAAAAGTATATATAGTCAGTGACATGCATAAAATCAATGATTAAATTCTTTTGCTTTGTATCACGTATCTTCACAGGTTTATATTGAGTATTCGCTTTCATTAAGTTTTGTGATTTTAAACTCTTTAAAATATTGCACCTACAAATGCATGATTTATCAAATATATATGGGCAAACATTTCGGGTTATGCACTTTTAACTATTTAAAAATTGATTGTGATGATGCACACTTTACATAATATAGCAAGGAATATCTGTACATAGAGAAATTCATTTCAGATTTTTTTTAAGCCAAAAATATTATTAACCAAATAAAAAACAATTTCATTTTCTTTTCTTTTGTTTATTTTACCAAAGGTACCTTAGTTTCTCTCACTGTAAATCAGGAGTCTCCAAAATATAGCCTGCAACAAGATATTATTTTTCTAATTGCCATATCTCATTTTTGTTCTGAATCATATTAGTTTAATGTTTATCTACCTCTCTATGGGGGGAAGATGTGATATATGGTCAGTTTACTGTGGGAGAAAAATTGCCTACTTTCTTAGATAAGTGTCATGTGGGGATCAGAACAATCTGACATTCCCTATTTTATACAATGGAAGAAATGATACCACAGGGTTGGTACCAAGACCAGGTTCACCTTTTGTTACACCACATTCTGCTTGAAGGCCAAAACGCAGAACTGTATTTGACCCTAAACCAAAAACACTGCTGAGGAGAGTTAGAGATAGTACACTAACCCCAGCCTGAAAACCAGGGAGAATTGCTCTGAATCATATAATGCTTATTACATAAAAATAGATTCAAATATAATTTATAAAACTGATTTTTTTGGGCCATAAAAATGTGTAAAATACATAATGTGGCTCTGAAGCAGCAATGTTTGGTGATTGTTGGTTTAAAATAGCAAAAGTATTTATCGAAAATCATTCTTATTCTATCAATTTGACAATCATTGATTCTAGTTTTAACGGTTTTAAATGCCAAAAACTAATTTTTTTTATGATCTTCTCTCATGTAGTCTCTCTGGATTCAGCATTATTTGTGACAAATAATTCACTCGAGATCTATTTAGTTCAATTGAAAGTCAAGCCAATTAATCATGACAGCTTCAACTCAATTCACAAGATACACAAGTCTTTATAGAGTGGGAAAACTCATTTTTATAATTAGGCACCTATCAATCAGACACAGATTCAGATTTTGTAAATGGTTAATATATGTATATAAAATATTTTTTTTACTTTTGTTTATCCAAGGCCGAAGAGCCACTCAAAGTAGAGGGTTACTGAATGAGGTTTTTGAAAATAGATAACAGATGACCTGAGATGAAGAGGTTCAGACTGTAGTGACTGGATAAGCACCCTCAAAAGGAGAATATTCCACAATATGGGGGTTCTTGGGAAGAAGCTGTCCAAATGGAACTTCCTTCTTACCAATAGAATATGTTGGGGAATCAGGATGATTCCACTCTGTATATGGCAGGTCTTAGCTGCAAAGGTCTGAGCTAAAAAATGTAGCTTGTCCGAACATTTCCCATGAAAATAGCAACACTGTAGCAAGAGACTTACAACATTTTATCTATGGGAAAGGGGTTTCAGGGTGGAAAACAGAACATTTTATACTACCATATACATGTTTAAACATGTTTTTATTTCCATTATTACTAATTCCATATAGTAGAAAACTTTATTTGTCACCCCTTTGTAGATCTAATAAATTATTTTTCTTTATGATTTAATATATGACAAATTCTTATGGTTCACATTAATATACCAATAGCTAGACAGAAAGCAAAAAGGAATAAAATTTTATATGAATTTATGAGGGGATATGTGTATTTCGATAAATAAAAGAAAATAGTGTGATTTTTTCATTAAGATTTCCAGGAAGCAAAAATTGTTTTTAAATCTACAATTAATATTATGATAGTCATTGATACATTCAATAAATAATTATGTTTTCAAAATATTAGCTCTCATAATTTCACTTTTGAAATTGCTAATAAGATCTATGCTAATAGTTTCTTTTACATTTCTTACTTGTAGACCTCTCTTCTGGTTTCTTGCTTTCTTGTCAATTACAATCTTCAAAAATTTAAGTTGTTGTTATCTGTTTCCTGGAATCCTGTTCATTTATTGTCCTTTCTGTTTTTTTACACTCTCAATAGACTCTTGTACCCTAATGGCTTTTGCTGCCTAGTTTGGGATGAAATGATAAAAAAATAACAACAATATATTTTGAAAGCAGACTTCTAGAGTGCTGAAAGAATAATACCATTTCAATAAAACTTTATAATACAAAATGACAATTTTGTCCAAAACATTTTCAATTCAATGTCTAATTATAGAAATTGTTTCATAGGTTATAAACACTTAATAATAAGCAATTGACAAGAACTGTATTTTTAAAGATTATAAGAAACAATTGAATGCAAAACCTTAAAGTTTTTAATATTTTCTTGATTCTAAAGACAGATATCAGTTCTTGTACTAAAAAAGATTTGTATAGAATTCACAGAAAATTAATTACTTTTCCACCTGTTAATTAGGTATTATTATTTTTATTAGATTAACACTGTGGAGAAAACTATTGATAAATCCCCTTTTAAAATTGGTATTTAAGCATTTTAAATTGACATTTTCAATTTGTAGCCATAAAATAAAAAAAGTTCCAGCTGCAGTGACAAAATAAATGGATATAAATTCATCAAGAACCAACTAAAATACAGAATATCTTTAAATGTTTGTGATTTGGATTTAGATAATCCATTTTCTAGATTTCCTCATTGTAGTTTTGTTTTCATCCAAATATATTGTTCTTTTGGAAAATTCCTACATTATAAAAAAGATTCTTGTTAAATTGTTGTTATAACTATAACAATCCTCCCCATTCTGTTAATAATGCTTGCATTAATTCATGATTACTAACAATTCTTTTTTCTTAGAGTTAGTACTGAAACTTGATAAAGTAATCTTTAAGTAAAAAATTATAAAATTTAGTATTTAATCAGTAATTTTTTCTCTATTGTTAACAAAATTTAGTTGGTTAGGACACAACACATGCTAAGCAAAATAATAGAGTAGTAATAAAGCTTATACCAACTTCAAATACAGTTGACACGAAAACACTACGATGATTAATGTATCATTTTTCTTGCATCACTAGAATGTCACTATGTAGTTAATCATCAAAATGAATGATAGTTTTTGCTTAATAAATCCTGTTGTAGGTTACACAAACAGCTAGTTAATGAATAAATGACATTTGACAAAAATTATCATCATCCATTCAGAGACTCTTTGAACTCTTATTCATTACAAAAGATAAAACTGTTTTCCCTTGAATTACAACATGAAAGACTTTAATAGCAATTAGATTTATTTATTGCTTGATTTTCCATAAATAAAAAAACAATTTATGCAGAAATAATATTTTTTTTTTATAGGGCACTTATCCTTTTTACTCCTCATTAGTACCATGGGGTGTTTGACCACCCAACAAAATCTTTTTCCATTATATTTAGCAACTGACAAGTTTATAATTATTCAAGTAGCTTTCTGAATACTTCTTTTGTGTGACTACTGGTTTTAGTTATAAAATTTGTGTGAATTACAAGTAGTTTTATTCGTTTAGGACTATGAAAGCATGCTATGGCTGTGATATATATATTTTTTGGAGTGATATATATTTTTTTCAGATTTTGAGAACACCTTTTAAATTGTTTTAATACCATAAGATGAATATAGTTTCATTTAGTTAGTTCCATGTGTAATTTTTCATCAATATAACTTCTTTATTTTGCCCTTATGTGTATGTACTTAATGAACAACAACAAACATTGGTTTAATATTGACCTTTTAATTCGACTTTTCAAAATAAAGCATTCTGGTTTTCATTTTTAATTTCAAGACAATATACAAGAAAATTAAGAGCTAAATGGTACATCTACAATATTTTAAATAGGGTGTTGGAAAACCTGATGGTACTAATAATGTGCTGTATTAACAGAAGGTTTAATATGTTTTAAAGCTATTTCTTGGAAAGGATTCTGTCACACATTGTCTGATCAAAGTTCCAAGTTATCACACACAACTCTCCTTCACACCCTCCCTAAATGCACTAGACCCATCACGTTATGTTCAGTGTTGTCAAATTGTAAAAAAAGTGAACACAAATCATAAAGCACTAATCATTGCATTATAAAAATTTGATTTTTTTTTTTTTTTTTTTAATTTTTTTTTTTTTTATTACATCTCCCAACCAATATTTTTACTAAACAGTGACATGTTCATTTCCCACAGCACTTCAGAGGACCTCCGAATTGGCTGGCACAGATAACAGAATAGGTATTCATTCAGTTGTGCATTTGTTTGATCTGCAGCAAATCTATGTATTCCTATCCCCATGATCTATGTCCCTCTACATCTCTCTCTTTCCTCCCACTTTCACTTTTTTCTCGTATTCCCTCCCTATTATTCATTTCGTACCTAGTATTCCTAGAATTATCTTTTGGTGTCTTGATACCTGTCTTGCTTCTCAGTGATCCTTGACCTCCTGTTAGTGTTCTCTTCTATCTTCAAAATATGGTATTTGATCTCATTTCCAAAACTTTCTATCAGTTATCTCCTTTTATAACTTCTCTATTATCGCATACTCTCTCTTTTTTTTATTTCCTCATTCAATGTATTCTCAGCAATGTTTAACCCTTGTGCCTGCAAAAAAACTGTGTTTCGAAAGGATGGTTTTTCCCATGACACCACTATTATTTTAACAACCTTCACTCCTCGGCAATGTTTATTGTTTTAAAAAGCAATGATTAAAATTTTAAGAAAACTTAAACATATGAAACTAAATTTATACATTTTTCTTTGTTCTTGAGAATTTACTACTAAAATATTAAACACTATTTATTAGATTGTTTATTGGAATGGTTGTTGTAATATAGCAACAACTCTTAAGTAAAAAGCTTATGAAGCTTTATTTGACTTGTTCAGCTTTAGTACTGAAAAACGTTTATTTTATTGTAATGGTTGATTACAAGTGAGAGGGGAGATAGGATATGTTTATTTTATTACCACATTCTCCCCCAGTATTATTCATATGGAAGAAAATCCTTCAAATAACTGGGCATCTTGTGGCTCCTTTGGGATTGTCAATATGTCTTGACCATATCAGGTCTTTCTTGTGTTTCTTTATTGGGTTCTAAGTTTGAGTACTTCAACCTGATATGCTTTCACCTATTTCAATGCTCAGACAGTTCACCTTCTGAATTAGAAGTGTTGGTAGTAGAGTCTGTTTTAGAGGTACTGACCGTTCATCAGAGCTAAGGATCATGAGGATTCTGGGCTTGAAGGCTCTAGGTAATCCTCATGAGGGGACAAGGGAGTGTTGTTATTGGAAACATTACTCAGTGTATCAGGAGCAAGCATTGCAGGTAGTTCTTGTGCAGTTAGGGTATCTGCTTCCTTTCCTGCTGAGGCCAGGTCTCTTAGAGAGACAGTGTCCTTTCTCCTGTCTGGATAGCATACTTGGGGTTTATCTCTATTAGCTCTACTCTATAAATGGTTTGTGCTTGCTCTGGGGTGAGCATGACATCTCAGTACATGGTTCTGAGTTGCAAAATCCACAATGAGAGGGAAGTACTCATAGAGCTTCATCACAGGAAGGAGAAGAACTTTCATGTGGAGTGGTATTAATTGTCGTACACAGCAATGTTCTAATAGCATATAGAGCTTCAGGGAAAAAACTTTTCCAGCAGTCTATCAAGAACCCATGGTTAGCAGCAGACAACTCTATTGACTTTTATCTTTTTCTGTTGTACCTTTCACATTGGCCATTACCCTGAGGCTTTTAAGGTGTTGTCCTACTTATGGCCACTCCTTGTTCTTGCAAGAATTGTTTGATGCAATCTGATATAAGGGGAGTCCCATGGTTGATGCAAGCAGGTAATCTGAAGATGGCAAAAAGAGAACAGAGGGCTTGAATCACAGTTGTTGATGTCATATCAGGGCAGGAAATAGCAAATGAAAAATGAAAATCCTCATTAATAATTGTAAGTAGGTACTTATTCCTCATATTCGACAGAAGTGGTCCCTTAAAATTCAGGGTAAGTCTTTCAAAACTTTGAGTGGCTTTTATAACCATTCCATTTCTAGGCTTGAACTCTGCACATATTTGGTAAGTCTACACAAATTCCTTAACGTCTTCAACTAAGAAGGGCAAGCTTCTAATTCAAACCAAGTGGAGCATTCTTGTCACACTTGGCTGGCACAATTCCTCGCATAGTTTAAGGAGATCATCTCTACAGATAATTGAGCCACACACCCTGAGAGCATATTGACCACTGCTCTCTTTGCCAGGGTGATAAGTTACGTCAAGCAAGAAGCAAGAAAGCTCCATCTTCTACCTTGCTATTTTCTTTTTTTATTTTACTTACTGTTTTAGGTTTGAGCATAAATGTAACTGACTTCTGGTCCATGATTAGCTTGAAATGGCAACCATTAGATAGTGTTGCCACTTTCTAAATGACTTGACAATAGTATATGCCTTTTTTCAACTGCCGAGTATCACTGCTCAGACTATGAGAGTTCTTGAAAAGAATGCTATGGGTCATCTCACTTATCTTAACAAGGCAGCTATAGTGCAGAGCTACATGTCAGTCTCAACTACCAGGGTCAGAAGTGTCAATCATTGCAATATTTCTTCGAATGCTCTGATGACATGAAGAGGCAAGGTGAATTTTGAAATTGCTGTTAGTGGATATACTTTTTCAGAGAATAAAGGTATCCAGTGTGTGTAATGTACAAACATTCCCAACACTCATCATAAATTACTCAGGATAGGAAAATTAAGAAATGGTCTTAGTCATTCTAGATCTGGTTTCATGTTACCTTTTCTAACAACATATCCAAGTAATTTAATAGCATTTTGCCTAATAAAACATTTATTGTAATTTAGGATTAAGTTATATTTTTCTACTGCTGCCAGAGATTCTTCATTATTATGAATGTCACTTTTGTACAGTGCTTCTTTTATTTTCAAGTGAACTAACCAGTATCCAGGTTCTTGAGACGATAATGGTGCATTAGCCATTGCTAATCTGGTATAGCACAGAAAAATTTTCCAGCAGTTTGAATTCGTGATAACTGCATCAATAAAATTTTCTGTACTACTAGTATCAACCAGTGCATCCAGAGGGAGTCCATTGTCCTTGATTTTTATAGTTTTTGATAAACAATTAAATGAAGCCAACGAGAATGTTTTTTTGTTTTTACATACTTTAAACCAGTGACCACTTTTTCTGCATGAAAAACAGTTATTGTCTTTCACTGGGCATGACAAGTGAGAATGCATTCTGCCCCCACAGAAAAAACAAGTGTGCCTCCTCAAGGCAACAATTTCTGGTGAATCAAGAGAATTCTGGGGTTGAGAGGAAACAGAAATGGGAAGAGGTCCTTTGCTCATTGCGGTCTTGTTGAATGAAAGATTCTACATTATGTTGAGCTAGTTCTAAAATTCTTGCTTAGTCATAGGATTGCTGGAGGGTAAGGTTTTCATTTCCTAGTAGAAACAGCTGAACGTTTATTGACAATAATCCATTAATGAATGCATCCCTTACTTACTATCTCTGTATGGTTTTGTTCAACTGTAACAGTTGTGAAGGTGCAATTCTTGCTAAGTTTTAACCCCCCCAAAATTTGTTGATTGTTTCTGAGGACTACTGGTGTCTTGTAGCGAACAGATGATGAGCAACCATTTTGTTTTTCTTTCTGGTATAGGTTTGTCCAGAATTCCTTTGGCTTCTTCATATGTGGTTGCATCTGAGAGAAATACTTGTAAATGCTAGCTGATATATACATTAAGTAACGTGACTTGTTGGGTGTTCCGTCACAACATTCCTCCAAGAAGTTTTCAAAGGCTTTTCACCAGTGATGGTGCTCTCTTTCAGAGAATTCATATTCATAGTTTGTTTGAGCACATGTTCTATCATTGTGAAAGAGAATGAGTTGAATAAATTGTAATATAGTAAAAACTCTAAGTAGAACCTTATGAGGTTTTATTGGACTCATTTTGCCTTAGTTCTGAAAAATGTTTATTTTATTGTGGTGGATGGTTACAAACAAGAGGGGAGATTGGATGTGCTTATTTATTTTGTTACTACAGTTGACAAAACATTGGCTAATTGCCAATCCATTTGAACTTTATAAAATGGTAAATAATAAAGATTTCATAGTTGGTTCACATATTTTTATAATTTAGTAAATGTTTATAAATTTATGAATAAAAAATTGTTTTCATATTTATTTCTTTATAAAAATTGCATTGAATTAGTTTTAATACAGCTGTATTAGTTTTTAGAATGTCGTAAATAAAAATTATTCTTGTAAATAAACAATCTAATGAATAGTGTTTAATACATTTGTTGTAAATTCTCAAGAACAAATAAATGTATAAATTCACTTTCATCATATGTTTATGTTTTATTACAGTTCTAGTCATGGCTTTTTAAAACAATAAACATTGCTGCAATGTAACAGTAGTTAAAATAATAGCAATGTTAAGGGAAAACATTTTTGACACACTGTTTTTTTTCTCTCAGACATGAAAGTTAAATATTGCTATTTTCTCTTTCTTGTTAGGTTTTCTTATTCCCCATATTTTAAAAAAAATTCTTAATGTCCCATGTAACAAATCTGTTATGATTTATCTTTTCATCACTTTCATTCCTTTCTTCACCTCTGTCAATCTCTCTTTTCATTCATTCTTCTAATTCTTTTCAGAACTTCTTTCTTTTTCTTTATATAGTCTAAATCTTACTTCTCTCTTATTATGGGTCCCTTTTATTATTTCCTTTAAAAAAATGTTTGTCCTTTAATAAGGCATATTATGATGAATTTATCTTTTTCTTTCAGTTCTTTCTAGCAGTTTACTCAAGAAATTGACAGCTTCTACTCTTGATTTATTTACTGTTCATTCTTTTCTGTGCTTCTCTTATTTCAACAATCCTTTCTCTCATTCTTTCTTTTTTTTCTCTCTCTTTTACTAATCTTAATGCTTGCTTCATCATTCACTCAGGCCTTGTATATATGGTTGACCTTATAATGCTATCTAATACTTTTGCTTGGAAATAACAATGTGATACAAAGCTTCATGTTAGATTTACCATGAAGCCATGCAAACAATGAACAGGTGTGGCCAATTGTCTAGTTTCCAATATTCAGCAGATGTAGTCAACTCTATAATAATCAGAATTATTTAGTATTGAACACTTGTAGTCAGCAGTATTGTTCTAGAATTGTTTGCTAAAATTTCTACAATATGATTATTGAATATATTAAAAATAGAC